GCGCAAACCAGTGGAAAGGTGTTCGCTTTGGCTCAGAATTAGACGGCTAATAAGGACAAACTCACCAGAGGTACATGTTTCATTAATAGTACTCCTTTAATTACTATTATTGATACCGGTGCTACTCATTGCTTTATTGTTGCTGATTGTGTTGAAATATTTGGTCTTATGTTTGCTTTTATGAATGAAGAGATGGTCGTCGATACTCCAGCTAAAGGCTCGGTGACTACTTCTCTTGTGTGTTTAAAGTGTCCTTTGTCGATCTTCGACAGAGACTTTGTCGTTTATTTAGTTTGTTTACCTTTAAGTGGGTTAGATGTGATCCTAGGTATGAAATGGTTAGAGCATAACCATGTTCATATTAACTGTTATAACAAGTCGATGAGGTTTTCTACTCTTGAAGAGGAGGAAGCTAGTCTGTTGTCTGCTAGACAGTTGAGGCAGTTAATGCAAGATGAGGCTCTAATGTTCTCTTTGATGGCGTCGCTATATGTTGAGAATCAAGCTATAATTGAGGAATTGTAAGTGGTGCGTGAATTTCCTGAAGTTTTCCCTGATGAAATTTTTGATGTACCGCTAGAGAGAGAAGTCGAATTTGCTATTGATCTTGTACCTGGTATCAGGCCTGTTTCTATGGCACCATACAGGATGTCTGCATCTGAATTGTCAGAATTTAAGAAGAAATTGGAAGAGTTACTTGAAAAGAAATTTGTAAGACCAAGTGTATCGCCGTGGGGAGCTCTAGTGTTGCTAGTAAAGAAGAAATATGGAAGTATGAGACTTTGTGTTGATTATAGACAGTTGAATAAAGTAACGATTAAGAACAAGTATCCGCTTTCTGAGAATAAACGATTTGATGGATCAATTGGTGGGTGCTTGAGTGTTTAGTAAGATTGATTTGAGGTCGGGTTATCATCAGATTAAAGTGAAGGATGAAGATATCCAGAAGAGGGATTTCAGAATGCGTTATGGACATTATCAGTATTCGACGTTAAAGGAGATTAGTTTTCTTGGTCATGTTATCTCAGGTAGTGGCATTATTATAGATTCATCTAATGTAGAGCTCCTATATGTTGGCATGAGTCTAGAGAAAGTGTAGTGCTTGGACCTAAAATTGTTCGAGAGACAACTGAGAAGGTGAAGTTGATTCGAGAAAAGATGAGAACTTCTTAGAGTATACAGAAAAGTTATCATGACAAGCACAGGAAAGATTTAGAATTTCAAGCAGGTGACCATGTGTTTCTGAGAGTTACACATGTGACTGGTGTTGGGGGAGCATTGAAGTCTAAGAAGTTCACTCCTCGTTTTATTGGTTCGTATCAGATTTCAGACAGAGTTGGGAATGTTGCTTATAGAATGGCTTTACCGCCTAATCTTTCGAATTTGCATGATGTGTTTCATGTGTCACAACTCTGAAAGTATATTTCATATCCATCTCATGTGATTCATATAGCATTCCATTTGTTTGTTGGAAATTTTGTAGCTCTGATTTTATATAATCCGTTGGATAGAAATGCGGTGTTACAGGTTCTACCCCCACGTTCTCGCAGTGTCGGCTCAAACCTTAGTTAATTTCTCACTCTCGTGACAAAATCGTGTTAAGTAACTTCTCACTCTCGTGACAAAGCTAATTAAATTGAGTTTAAAAACAAAGACCAAAACATATTTTTCCAACTAAATTACCAAGCCAACGTTGTTACTGAGTCCTGTCGGAAATGACAGTCCTCACATACCAAACTCAAAACAATTTAGTCAGACATAATTATGGGAAATATATTGTGTTTAATTAAGCTGAACATCTGCAAGTGCATATACCAGTAAACACGACCAGTATAAAATTGTAATTGGAACGGAAAAACTTGTTTCGACTAAATAAGTGTAGTGACTGATACGTAAACTGGACTGGAAAATAAAAGTGCATCAATAGTAATAAATCGGAAATTACCAAATGATAAAAATTGGAACTGAATTGAATAAGCAGTAATAAAACAGACAGATAAAATAAAACCTGAAATTAAAGCTGGAAAAACTGAATTTAAATTGGGAATGATGGCAAGATTGATGAATTGTTATTCCAAGTACACAAAAAAAGCTCTTAATTCTAAGTTGCCGCAGTCCCTCGACGTGAGAAACTGCGACTTTTACAATAGTTAATTTTTCTGCCTAGAATAAAATTCTAAAAACTTCCACCCCCCCCCCCCCCCCCCCCCCCCCCCACAAAACCCCTCCTTCCTTCCTTTATACCTCCTCTGCTAGTGACCTAGATTTTCATGATGTTCATGGAGAAAAATAAGGAAAAGTGGGCTCATGGAGAAAAATCAGGAAGATTGGGTTCGTGGAGAAAAACTAGAAAAGTTGGTGTGAATTACTGATGTGGTGAGTGCCTCACACTGGCGAGGACCACTGTTTAAAAATGGAAAACGTGGCATACTAACTGTGGCGAGGGCCACAGCTTCAGAAATTCATTTTTCTGCTCTTTTCTTCCATTCTTCCTGTTTCTTCGCTATTTCTCGTTATTTTTTCGCCTGTGAGCTTTGTGTTAGATTGTACCTGAAATAGAATAGCAATACCGATATAACAAGACATAAATAAATGAAAACGGTACTACAATGCATGCGAGTCAAGTCGAATATACGGTATAATTTCGCATTATCGGTAACATCCTTATTCAACTATTCTTGTGGGTGAGCTTTATGTGTTATATATTTGTTTTACATGCGATTAAACGTCGTTGTTTCCAAGCTGGAAGTGTAGCATTCCATTTGTTTGTTGGAAATTTTGTAACTCTAATTTTATATAATCTGTTGAGTAGAAACGGGGTGTTACAGGTTCAACCCCCACGCTCTCACAGCGCCGACTCAAACCTTAGTTAATTTCTCACTCTCGTGACAAAATCGTGTTAAGTAACTTCTCACTCTCGTGACAAAGCTAATTAAATTGAGTTTAAAAACAAAGACCAAAACATATTTTTCCAACTAAATTACCAAGCCAACGTTGTTAGCGAGTCCTGTCGGAAACGACAGTCCTTACATACCGAACTCAAAACAATTTAGTCAGACATAATTGCAGGAAATATATTGTGTTTAATTTAGATGAACATGTGCAAGTGCATATACCAGTAAACACGACCAGTATAAAATTGTAATTGGAACGGAAAAACTTGTTTCGACTAAATAAGTGTAGCGACTGATACGTAAACTGGACTGGAAAATAAAAATGCATCAATATTAATAAATCGGAAATTACCAAATGATAAAAATTGGAACTGAATTGAATAATCAGTAATAAAATAGATAGATAAAATAAAACCTGAAATTAAAGCTGGAAATAAAACTGAATTTAAATTGGAAATGATGGCAAGATTGATGAATTGTTATTCCAAGTACACAAATAAAGCTCCTAATTCTAAGTTGCCGCAGTCCCTCGACGTGAGAAACTGCAACTTTTACAATAGTTAATTTTTCTGCCTAGAATAAAATTCTAAAAACTTCCATCCCCCCACAAAAACCCCTCCTTCCTTCCTTTATACCCCCTCTGCTAGTGACCTTGATTTTCATGATGTTCATGGAGAAAAATCAGGAAAAGTGGGCTCATGGAGAAAAATCAGGAAGACTGGGTTCGTGGAGAAAAACTAGAAAAGTTGGTGTGAATTACTGATGTGGCGAGGGCCTCACACTGTGGCGAGGGCCACCGTTTAAAAATAGAAAACGTGGCATACTAGCTGTGGCGAGGGCCACAACTTCAGGAATTCATTTTTCTACTCTTTTCTTCCATTCTTCTTGTTTCTTCGCCATATCTTGTCATTTTTCCGCATGTGAGCTTTGTGTTAGATTGTACCTGAAATATAATAGCAATACCGACATAACAAGACATAAATAAATGAAAACGGTACTAAAATGCATGCGAGTCAAGTCGAATATACGGTATAATTTAGCGTTATCGGTAACATCCTTATTCAACTATTCTTGTGGGTGACGCGTCTTTCAACCTATTACCGATTGAAAATGACGGCTACCATTTGACTTGTTTCCCCATATCTCATAAAATTTATATTCCCTTATCCACATGTGTGTTAGCACTTATGATCATACTCTAGAAAAAAATATTTGTTTTAGTTCATGGGAGCTAAAAACATGAAACACACTTTATATACATGGATAATCGAATTCCAGGCGTCTATGGCTGATTGTGACACTTTTCAAAATTTTGTGATTCTTTGTGTTTGAAAAAGATTTGTCTAGCTGGCATTAAGATGCTCTTGGTGTAATTAACCTTGGTTCGACTACATATACATTGACTAAAACTAATTTGGTTGTTGAACATTCTCGGGTGATAAATTAGATTATTTGTAAGCTCAAGCAATAAAATAATTGAATAAAGAAAACAAGAATGTAATGGCGCCACAATCCAATGACGAACAAGTATTTAAAAAACTATAGAGAAACAACGGCTCACAATTAATAATTTATCTCATCGATACTGCTATTATAAATAAAATCAATAATAAAAATTTGATTATGAATATTTATCCATTTTATTGAAGATTTAAAGCATATATTTGTAAATAAAAAATAATATATCACAACCATTTACATGTAACTTTATATATAAATAAGATAAAATCAAATATTTGCAATAATTTGACAATTCCAAGTAAATTTGTTTGCTCCAGGTGCAATTCAATTTAAGCTCCGCAAGGCCAATGTGAGAAGCAAAATTTGGAATCAAATTCATAAAAATAACGCCGTTGCCGGGGATCGAACCCGGGTCACCCGCGTGACAGGCGGGAATACTTACCACTATACTACAACGACTTGATGTTTGGTTGTTTGTAATAGTGGTAAGTGTTGGTTGTTTGTATTCGCTGACGTCCCAACAGTTAATTTCATCTCTCTTCAGTCGTCAATGAAATTTTGGCAACAAATTGAGAACTTGTTCTTGATCCTTCATAATTTTAACTCTAATTTCACCGACTGAAACAAAATTTTAGATTTAGAAAAATGCTTGGCGTTGGCGATGGAGGCGAAACCCCTTCAAGGTACATTCACAATCGCACTCTTTTATTCATTCACGCAACTTCACATCATACCATGGAATTGAATTAATGAAAATTAAGAGATTGTTTTTTAGATATGAATTGTTGAGCATGGTGAAGAAGCACTCAAATTTAATTGGGAGAACCGTTGTTGAAGATCAACAAGATGCTCCTGATGTTGAAATGGATATGAAGTTTTGGAATGATGTTTTTGATTTGTATTTTGTTCGCGGAAAAGAATCTAGGGGTCGCCAAGATGATGATCTCGTTTTCTTCGTTAGAAAATTGGTATAATTAATCTCCTCTTTTCTATTTATTTCCCACTATTTTCCCTGTAAGAAGCATAATTGTTGATATCACAACACAGGTTTCTAGAGGTTCTGCTTCCAATTACGATACAGAAAGTCTTGATCCTTATTTTGTACGCAGGTGGGCACCTAAGGTAAATTCATTCATTAATATATCATGCTGCTGCTCAAATTCAGTATCTTCAAATTGTATGCTGCTCAAATTCAGTATCTTCAAATTGTATGCTGCTCAAATTCAGTATCTTCAAATTGTATGCTGCTCAAATTTATTTAAACACTATCTTCAAATTGTGTGTGTCTGTCCTTCCTATACATTTGATACAATGATACTAGTATTTTTAGTTTTATAGGATTTCCTTGTGTGCATAAGCTTCAGTTTATAAATTTGTTTCAGTTAGACCACCTTGTGTGCTTAAGCTTCATATTAGCTGCTCACTGGATTGTGATAAGTATTGATAGCATGAAGGTGTCTATTTATAGGCTTTCCATTTCTGCCGACTCATTTTTTAAATTTTTCTCTACCAGTTGAGCAGCCTAATTGATGAAACTTCAATTGATGTGGATTGGAGGCGTTCCTTTTACTTGAATTTAATCGCTCATACATCTTTCAGTGTAACTGTCGCAATTTGCAGGTAATCAATCATATGCTCATTCCTTAATTTCACGTCCGCCAACCTATTTCACCTTGCCTAATCTCTTGTTAAAACTGGTTTCACAAGCAATCAGATCTCCTTTCATTTTATTTCATTCCTATTACTATTACGCCTACATTACTTTATTATTGCTGCACACTCTACCAATAATCAATCTTTGAGTCATTTGTTTTCTCAAAATGCCCCGGCGATGGGTTAGCTCTACGATTTTATCTCTGCATGGCTACTTCTGTTCCCCAAAATTTCTTATACAATGACTTCCAGTTTTCACTTTTCTTGCTATAATATTGGTTGGATACTTTTTCTCTATCGATCATAATTATTAGAGCAACTTTTTAAATTCTAATCCAAACATTCTGCAGTTTTGAATAAGGAAAATCTTATATGCTCTAACTAAAATGCCATCATCAATGGGTTCTTATGAGCAATATATAAACCTTTTAAGTTTTTGGGCTGTTGTTATCTCTCTGGCTAATTTGATTCAAATATATCTATTTCTCTAGTCAACAGGTTCTTCAAAACCATCAGGCTGGGAAGGATACATCTTTATCCCCTATATATAAGGTAAATGTAGTTAATTAATCTTTCTCTACCTCTTGAATTATCTTCACTTCCTTTACTTGTAATTGTTACTTGTAATTGTTTGTAAAAGACAAAAATCAATTTCTTTTATATTATTTACCCTGTTTTTGTTTGTTTGCGAATATTCTCAAGAAAAACAAAATTTTGACTGTTATGATAGATACCGATCTAGGGATGAAAAAGGATAGATTTGCAAACCTAAAAAAACCCTTTGGCGAGGTGAGGGGTGATTAGTGAAGCCTGTCCATCTTTGGGAGTTAAATTGATTTTTGAAGATAATGTTCAAACTACTGCTGTAGCAGGCAGCAGGCTTTAGGCCTTAGTTTCTTTGATGGATGTCTAGTTAGGGATTAATCAGACTTTTATTTTTAGGCCGTCTATAATGTTTTAATCCATATCAAGTGATTACCATATCATACTCCACTAGAAGTTTTGTATGTACCTTTTAGCCTAAGCGGCAACCCCACTCTTGAAAGTATGATGCTTTCTCTTTGCTAGAATAATTTCTAGATTTTTATTAGTAAAAGGTTCAAGTTGCCCACTCTTGAAAGTATGATGCCTTCTCTTTGCTAGAATGATTTCTAGATTTTTATTAGTAAAAGGTTAAAAGACTCTCCTCCTTCTGTGTTAGTTCTTAATCTTGATTTTATTAACATTCTGATTATTGTCTGCGCGAAACTTTAACACTTTCTCAACCTTTCCCAATTATTGTAAGTTTTGACCCAAATTTAGCTCCTTCATGATTAATAACGCCCCCTTCCATGCCTTAAGTCATTATGTGCTTTACCTCATACGACATCGTTACAGAATATTTAATCCCTTTGAATTAGTTATGGATTTGAGAATTTGTGTCTGTGAGTGATTGTATTCTGCTTTGCCATGATCAACCCAGTTTTTGGTGTTGGTGAATTTGACAATAAGGCTTTGTTCCTACGATTTTGGACTGTAGGGCTCTTTTTTTTCAAAAAAAAAGAAAAAAACTTGAAGGTAATGTGGTTGTTTCCCTTTTTTTTGACAATTGCTGTTTCCCTTCTTTTGACAATAGTTATTTCCCCTTTTTTTTACAATTGTTGTTTCCCTGTTATATAGAATCAACAATCATGGGTTGTGTATTATTCAAGACGTCTAAAACTCTAATTGTCAATATATGTGTAAAATAAATTTTGACTCGGCAAACATGGCCCATTGCACTTTCTCAGGTTGTGAAGACTGTTTATGCATCTCCAAGTCGTGTAAATTTTCAACTGGACTCTAAAAAGGCAAGTGTAACTATCTTTGTTATATAACATTAGGGAGAAAGAAAATACTCTTTCTCATACATTCTTATCATTTTATTGACAATAACTCCTTCATGGACATGCCTATAGGAAGTGGAAACAACACCTGCTTATCCGGATATATGTTTTGCAATTGATGATTTTGACTCCACTTTTGATGCTGTGGTAATATACTACTTTAGCAAGTTATTTTAGATTTTCAATCATATTTTATGTATGGAATGTTTCAGTATCCAATATCGTTTGTGAATCACATTTTTGAACTAACTAAGATAGGAATAGCACTTGAAAATAGATATGCTTTATCTTGCATGTTTCATGTTTCTAATATGTTAGCTTGAAATGCCCCACATTTTTATTTATGTGTATGTGTAACCTAACTTCCATTAAAGAATATGTACTGGTAAAAAAGTTTAATGCATATAAATATGTGTTATGGTTAATTGCTAATGCTTACACTGTGATGTCAGAAGCATACATTTTTGTTTAATATAGTTGCTGAAGCCTTAATTCACATTGTGATGTTGATTTTTTTCTTCCAGAATGCTTGCTCCTTTTTCATTGTTTGTGAATCTTGTCCCTTAGTAAATAACACATTATTAAATATTTTTTGCATTCTGGTTCTGCTCACTTCATAAAATAAGCCTTTGTTATTCCATTCCCTACAGGTTTTGACTGAAAAAGATCATTGCTATTGTGTAGTTCTTAATGCACATGATGGGGCAGCATTTCCCAGTAAAAAGGTGTCAAACGATTGCAGTACTAGTGATAACTCCTCGCCGGAAGTTTGTACCAATACTACTACGAAAAAAGATACTAAGGTTTGATAATTCTTAGTTATTGTACTGAAATTCATTTTCTTTTAGGTTTTTTGAAATTATGATCATTGTTTTCTTATCTAGAATATTTAGTTGATTATTTGTCCTCCATACCTCATTTGCCTGTTTAACTATATGCTACTCTGTATACACTATATATCTTTATATAACCTTTCTTCCAGTGGCGGAGTCAGAAAAATTATAAAGTGTGGGCAAAAATTTAAAGACCGTAAATTCACATTGTATATAATATATATAAATAGTCATCAATCAAAATAAAAGAGACTCGTCATTTTGTCAACAAAAATATAATTTAAAATAAAAGAGATAAACATAACCTTATAATAGCGGGTTAAATAAAATTACGAGGCAAATGTCCTTTCCGAGACTTCTTTGCGGTGAATGTTCGAATAATATCAATATCATCAAGTGACTTGAATATCTCCCGTTCGGTGTAACATACCATCAAGTCATTGAACCACACATCATTGATCTTATTGCGCAATTCAGACTTGATAATCTTCATTGCTGAAAAAACTCTTTCAACGGATGCTGTCGACACCGGCAATATCAAAGCTAACTCAATAAGTTTATAAGCCAATGGAAATACCAAATTTCTCAGTTTGAACCATCTTCATAGCCAAACTTTGAACATCTTCATAGCCAAACTTTGAACATCTTCACAAGTGGAAAATGAAGCATTTCTTCTCACTTGAAGAACATAAATAAGTTGATTCCTAATTGTTCCTCGGTCATCATCAGAAAAGTCTGCATGATAAATATCAGCAAGACGAACAAGCTTATCAACACCAAACTTGGAGAAAGAGTTTTTGGGATCAAGACATGAGAAGCAATCAAGGATAATATTACTTCCTTCACTAAAGCGATGATCCATCTCCACACATATTTTGTCAATAGCAACATAAAAAATCTCCGCACGGTAATGATGAAGATTAGTGATAGTCCTCTCTTCTACCCTTGAGCGACCCTGAATCGGTATTTCATCATCCATATTTGGCACCGGAATACCTTTAGCAACACAAAAATCTTGGACATCGGCAAATAAATTCTCTCAACCACTCTCTTGTTGTGGCCAACCGAGCTTTGACATCATCAACTAATTCCATGGCAATCACAATATTAAGATCTTTTCTTTGCAAGACATTTGAAAGCTCGTTTGTGATACCAAACAACTTTAACAGTAACTTCAAAATGAAAGCAAATTTAAAGCTCTCTATTTTTTCTATCAAACCCGCTGCTTGAGATGGTCCACGTCCATCTTCATCAACCATACTAAGCACCTTTAACACGAAGGACCACATTTGATCCAAACGAAGCAATGTAGTATGATGTGAACTCCATATAGTATCCTCGAGTCTAGTGAGACTAGATGATTGGTGCAAGCCCTTTCCTCCAGATATCTCACCACTCTCAAGTTTATTTAAAATATCTTGGTGTTGTGCCTCCGCCAAAGCATCCCTCCTCTTACAAGATGCATTTGTTGTGGTCACAATCAAGGAGATGTACTCAAAGAAATCATGAATAGATGAACAACTACTAACAATAGACATAACAACCAATTGCAAACGGTGAGCATATCAATGGACATAGAAAGCACAAGGATTTTCATCTAGAATTTTTCTTTGCAAACCATTAAATTCACCTCTCATATTTGAAGCTCCATCATATCCTTGTCCTCGTATCCTTGAAATCGATAATGTGTACTTATCAAGAATACCATAAAGAGCATCCTTTAATGACTCAGATGTAGTATCTTTGACATGATGTAGAGCAATAAATTGTTCCACAACATTCCCTTTGTCATTCAAAAATCTAAAACAAATTCAACAAGTTTACTTGGCGGCATAAAGAATAATAGGTAATGAAAATTGAAAATTGAAAAATGCAACTACTAACCTCAACATTACCGCCGTTTGCTCTTTGACGGATATATCACGTGACTCGTCAATAAGCACGGAGAATTGTCTATCACCAAGCTCTTCCATGATCACCTTGGTAACTTCATGTGCACAACACGTTGCAAGCTCCTTTTGAATGTCACCGCAAGTCATGTGCAATTTTTTCCACCACGGTCAAAAGCATCCCTCACTTGTTCATTCTGAGATTTTACCCAATCTACCATCTCTCTAAAATTGCCCTTATTTAGAGAAGTAGAGGATTCATCATGGCCACGGAAAGTCCTTGTGCTATGAGATATCTTGAACAATCTACATAACAAGTCAAACGAATCTTATAAAATTCTTCTGATTCCTTGGTTGCTTTAGCAAACTTACTTGCCACACTTTGTCTTTGATTATTATAATCATCGTAGTGCTTGACACATGAGTTGCGCAAACTATTATGACTACCAACGTGACCTTTCAAGCCTTGAGATGCATGCTTCCAATCTCTATATCCGCATTTAGTGAAGATTTCAAAACCAAAGTGCTCGGCCCTCCCGGGTTGCTTAAAGAGAAAGCAATAAAAACAATAAGCTGCATCCTTGATCTCACTGTATTCTAACCATGTATAATTATACGATGATTTACTAAATGCTTATTTAACACTTTCAAATGGAGTACGAGGAAAGCTTGGCAAATCTGATTGCATTGGACCCTTCAATATATATGCCCTTCTAACTTGGTCTTGAATATCCGAAGCATATTCACTAATTTGTTTCCTACGACTTGGATTATGCACAATCTCATTTGAGTTAAACTCATTAACCACATTAGGCGGTGGTTCTAATTCGACTTCCAGTTGCACAACATTCACATTCTCAATACTTGCTCTATCAACTAGAAATCTCCTCATCTCTGAAATTAAATGATCTTAAGTTAATACTCAATTAACAATTACATAATTTATACATTCACTTGCAATCATATAAAGTATTGAATCTGAAAAAAAAAATTCACTTGCAATCGTAGAAAGTAATTTTTAATAAAATACATCATATAGTTTCATGGCTGGGGCGGTTTTGTTTTCATATAGTTTAATAAAAATATTCTCTTGCAATCATAGAAAGTAACAGAGGTTTTGTTTTCATAAAATATTGAATATGATAGTTAAGCTTCATGGCAGGCAGAGGCGGTTTCACCATCTGCTCAAATCATCATGACATCATATAGTTTCAATCTAAATAAAATAAAATTAAAAAGCATATGAATGAATAGAAAGAACAAGAAGCAGAAAAAAAGAAGAGGAAAAATAGTATGCCGAACCGATTAGTGCTTGAATATAATAAACTAAAACTAATTGAGAAAGAGAGGAGGAAGGAGTCCGTCGCCGTCGCAGAGAAGAGATTGGTGGTGCTGCAGTTAGGTTTACTTTTGTTTTTGCCCTTTTTTTCTTTTTTTTCTCTTTCAATTTTTTGCCTTTTTTTTTGTTTTTTAACTAAAATAAATTTGGGCCAGACTAAAGAGCCTGGGCAGTTGTCCAGGGTAGCCGTATCCGTATGCTAAAACCGCCTATGCTTTCTTCTGTGTACTTGCATAATGAAATACGCAGCCGAAGCAATTGTCTCTTATGCACTTGGAAGTGATCAGATAGGGCTTTGTACTTGCTATTAATATGTGATAATATCATGGGTGCGAACTGTTCTTACTTCTTACTATATTAGTATATAAGTTTTAAGAAACTTAAAACTCAAGGGCAAGAGGAACTTCCTTTCTTATCAGATGAAGTTTTGCTGTTTAAAACAATTTGGTTACAAGACAAACAACTTAATTCAGAACAATAAAAAGTACCTTAAATCCATGTTAGTTCCCAATGATTTTCATATTCTGGTATGACTTTTCTTGACAAGCTTTCTGTCAACCCATAAATAGAAAATACAGTGAATTTTTGAATTGTGCCATTGCGCCCAATAATACATCATCTTTTAACGAAGTTACTGTTATTGTGAATACTTTCTAATGAATGACTCTAGAGTTACTTGAATAATTTCTCTCTGATGTATTATATCTAATAATCTAAGTATCTTCTTGAAGAGTACATCAACAATGGTACTCTAGCGCAGAAGTTCTTAAATGACCCTTTTTAGGCATTCTAATTCTATGGGTTCTCTGATTTGCAGCTCACCCTTTTCTCAGGATTTGTCAGCTACCAGATGGTTAGAGATGCATATGATGGTTATTTTTCCTACAATGCCTTCTATCTAGATATTGCTTTCTTTATACTGCTGCAATGTTTTTGAATGTCTTATCTACAGAATGAATGATTTGGAACATATTTTTGCACGGTTAATGTTTTGTTTCACCAGAATGTTTCACAAAGTTATGTGGATATAGATGTATCCGGGTCTTGAGTTGATATATCATTTCTTTGGAACCAGTGAAACTTTCAAAACTCATTGACTATGGTTGATATCTTTTATTCATCCTTTTCAGTAAAACCACAGTACTCAGTCATGCTATGATATTTCAAGTGTTCACAAATTTCATGTATAAAGTAGTTTTAATTCTGTAGATTAATCTTTAGTAAGCATCTGTTTTTTACTTAGAAGAGACTTTCCGCTTAAATCACCATAACACTTTATTTCCTTTACACGGTGAAACATCCAAGTTTATTATATTTTACGTAGTTAATTTGTGCCATGAACCATATATATGTTGTCTCACTGGTCACTTATGCATCCGATCTTTGCTGCACTACAGCTGGAAAATCCCGATTTGGGAGCCTTTTAGGCCATCATCATGGCAAAACAGATAGGATTTATATGAAAGGTCCTGGAGGCCGAGGGGAAGTTGAAGTAGCTGTTTCTGGTGTTGCAGGTAGGCAACTTTTTGATAGGTTGGATTTCTGAATTTTGTATTGAAAATGAAAAGCTAGTATTTTTTCACCCTGACTTTCTATGTTATATAAAAATAAGATATTGTTGTAAATAGTTAACTTTCATCACACATTGCAATACCAATTAGTTTGGTATTACATGATTGCTTATTAACTTTAATTCTATTAGGACAGACAGCAAGCACTAGTTGAATAGTTGATAGATAAATCAAAGCCTCACTGGAAATATTATTTCTTGTCTGACAAATCTCACTAAATATATTGTGAAGCTTGTGTGTGTAGTAAAGCTCTAATTTTATCATTTAAAAGGTAATATATTGAGAGATGGATGAAATGGAATCTGTCTGTTGCAATGTCAGATCAAAGTCAGCTGGATTCAGAGCCACCTTCTCCAGTTATATCAAAGAAAGGGATAGGGTTGGGTGTAATTGTTCGCAGAGCTGCAATGGTTGCATCAGTAGCAGCAAAACATGCTTATGCTGCCGCCTCTTCCTCTAGCTCAAACTTTGATGAAATGATACCGTTGAAATGCAGCTTAATGTCCATATCGCTGCCTTGGGAATATATAGCATATGATCTTCTGTTTAAGGTGAGTTCTTGCTTTGACCAGTTATGGTAGAATGAAACGACACATTGCCATTGCTTTAGGAAAATGTTTCTTTGCAATTGTTTCTCAGTGCCTTTGTTTGTATTTCACTGATACTATTCATTTGGAGAACATTGACTATGATTTTCAATGGCCATATTTAGGGAGCTCCTCCGGTGGACATGTAATCATCTCATGCATTTCTGGGCCCGAAGAAAGTTGAATTGAAGAAGATATCTAAGTTATGAAATTCATTTTATTCTGAAAGTTTGTTTTGGTCAATCTGAGCGGGCATGCATGCAGAGGACTGTGCATACTTGGTGGTAGGGTGAAAGTCCCAGTGGAATTCGTTGCATCTGCTCGACTGCTTATAACTTTTCACTGATATGCAAGTTGTATATGCTGGATTATTGTTAATTTCCATGCTGCCAATTACCAAGTTCTCTAAAAGTTAAACTCAGTTTTTTAAGCAAAAAAGTTGTGCATCCCTTTTTAAAACCTGATTTTATACCAACTCAAGGTTATGGATGTAAAAGTAGGTATATAAAGAGAAGTGGATTCTTAGATTGGTGAAGTTAGAGTGTGGGCCATTTGATTTTAAGTCAATAGCTAAAATTGCTCAACTACGTGCTTCTATAACTGCTAGGAATTCAGAATACAGTGTATGTCTAGAACTTCATCAATTCAACATTTCTTACACCCTAATAGAATTTTGCCATTTCCATGGACCTAGGATAAAAGGAACTGACTAAAGAAAAAGCACCTAACTAGTACTATTCTTTTTTCCATTAAATTTTCTTGGGGCACATGCAACCTAGCTACTTTATTAGCATGTTAAAAGAAGCGATTGCTTAATCATCTTTTTCATCATTAAACTAAACAAGATTAGCTAAAATGGTAATAGAAGTGATTGCAAGTTATCCTCCACCCACATTTTGCTTTAATAATATGTTTTTGTACTTGATGTCCATAGGGATCCAACTAGCAACCAAAATAAAACTGCCCCAAAAGAATGCTCAACTAAGAAAACTATCCAAGAATATTCTTTTCAATTACTACGTGATAATAAGAATGAAATGAATTGAAGTCACATACCATTTGGCAATTATGTGAACCTTTTTTACCATTAGTTCATATGATTGATTTGGTAAAACTAGTAGGAAAACTAATTATATTTTTTATTGACAAAAGTAAATGAAGACATGTATATTAATGCAACCATGTCTCTGTCTATATTTGATAATTTGGTATATGACAGAATTCCGCATTCTCTATCTTTATCTAGTTTTCTAGCTTTTGTAACAATAATTAAAAAAAAAAAACTACCTTCTAACTCCAATCTCCACATATCTCTTTTGTCTTGACAATATATAGAGTGGTGACATTTGCCAATTAAACTGTATTTTATGCTTCATGCTATAATCAACTATTCAATAGTAAATATAGTGTGATATATGCTTTTATGATAATGTTAGAGCTGTTCACTTATTAAAAAAAAGATTTAACTTTAAAAAAAAGTTTTAACATGTGACATTTTAATATGCTTATATACATTTGATAATTTAGTGTAGTGGTGGCTATTTAACCTTCTAATACAAGAAACTTTTTCAAGTTTTGTTGAACAATTGTAAGGCTTAAGTGTCTCCCCCCACTCTATGATAAAATCTCTCTACATCCTTTTTAAAAATACAAAAAATGTACATATAATCAATTGGATTTGCTTAATAAAGATAAAACATATTAAAAAAATATAAAAAAGAGATAAAGAGTAAAACTAGGGAAGATAAAAACAATATAAATTTTTGTCGAAAAAAATAGAAAGAAAACCTAAAAGATTCAAAAGGTTGAATCTAAAGACAAAAAGGAAGTTAGTAGACTAAAGTCTCTAAACCATCATTTTGTAAAATTTTGACTCATTCTTTAATTGATTCACGTAATTATAAATATAAGTTAATAATATGTACAACTTTTAAGTATCGAATATACTTATAATAAATCGTACAATTGATTCTCTAACTTCAAATATATAAAACAGCAACAAAAAAAAATTTAAAAGATGGATATTAAAATAGTTATTATCTCATAGATACGTTCACATCTACTTGTGGATCTATGTCTGCAAAGTCCTTCATTATGATGAATAAACTACAACTGTTAAATTTAGAAATAAAAAGAACTATTAAATTGGTACATTTGACCAAAAAAATATTAAATCTTTAATATTAATCGAATTTTGTTAAAAAAATTCTACATTTCATACAAAATGAATTTTTTAATGAATTAATATAAAACAGTAGTAAAAGAAATATTTAAAAGATGAATATTATGAACAGTCTACGCTGGTATCTCATAGATACATTCACATCTACCCGTAAATCTATACCTGCGAGGATTTTCATTACGATGAACAATTTATCACTGTTAAATTGAGAAATAAAATTAAAAATAAAAAGAACTCTTATATTAATATATTTAACCAAAAAAAGTCTTAAGCCTTTAATAATAATCAAATTTGTTAAAAAAATTCTATAATTTACTCAAAAATAAATTCGATAGTGAACTAATATAAAACAACATCAATATTCTTTTCCGAGATATTCAATATTTTTTTTCACCGAAAGCAGTAACGATAAAGAACAACATTTTTAGTTTAATTCTTTAATTTTTATTTACCAATAATATATATTTTGAAGATTAAAAATATATTTAATTTTATAATTAAATATTCCTTTCTCATATCAACTATAATTTATAAAGTTGTCAAACTTTTAAAATAGATGTTAATATTTTTAATTTAAATGTGTTTCATTTTATTAGAATGCATATAAATTTTTTTTAATCTGATGGTTCTAAGTACATAAATTTTACCAATCATCATTTTTTTTCATGATTACCATTTAATAAAATTTTGAATTTTTATCATATTATAATAATAGAAATAAAATTTTATTTTTCATAAAAATATAATGTTATAATAACCATAAGTGAATTTATTAATTAATTTAAAAATTTATAAATAAAATAATAAATTGATTTAAATTACTATAAATAAAATATAACAATAAGTAAAAATTGCGAGGAAGAGAAAAAACCATAAATAAAAACATCTCAAATGCATTTAATTTTATATGGCCATTAATCCTTTATAGGAAAACTTACAAATGACAAAATAAATTGATATTTATACTTTATACTATTTTTTTTTTTACAAATTTAAAGGTGTCTATTAATTTTTATTTATTTATTTATTTAGATTATGGCCATGTGGGTTTAGTATTCAATGGTAGATATGTATAGAAACTATAATAAGTACAGACAATATTTGCTAATGCTATATCATCTATTAAAAAATTAAAAAAATTAATCTGTTTATTATGTGACCCAAACACGCTGAGTGCAATATGTTTAAATATATTTTCTTTCCAAAGTGAATACAAATCAACACAAAAACTCATGACAGTTTATAGAAATGAAAATGAAAAATTCCGGGTGATACACTCAATATGCTGATGCAAGCCTCGACGGATAGTCGCTTAAAAAGAACACTACTGAACATAACCTGCAGAAAAAACACAAACTCCATTTTCATTCATAATTCCAATATGAAAGCAAAAAAAGCTATATAAATTTGTCTATATTTATATAACACAACCCATATCAACCATGCTTAATCAACCTGAAACACATTCGCATTCACTTATATTGACAGAAACTCATGATTTCTTCCCTCAAAAATATGAAATGAAGTGGTTTAAATGAAGAAAAATATTTAGAAATTTTCTGGATTAAAAAAAAAAGGAAAAGGAAAATAATCCAATCACTTTTAGAACTTACATTCACCATTATAATTTATAGATCTATCATGCTCTATGCAACCCTTTTGTTCCTCCAACAAACGTGATCAGAGTATTATATGTCACAACAGTTGGCGATAGTCCGTTTGACTTCAATTCATTATATAATCTAATAGCAATATCGATCTTTCCAACATCACAATAACCTTTGATCAATGTGTTATATGTAAATATGTTTGGTCTTAGGCCAATACAGCTTACACGATAAACCAACTTTACTGCTTTTCCAAGCTTCTTCATTTGAAATTACTCATTTATCAGAAGGTTGTATGTCATAATACTACATGCTATGCCTTTCTCACGCATTGCTTCAAACACGTTAAAAGCTTTATTTATGTTGTCAACAACAAATTGGTCTTATGGGACAAAAATAGATTGAACAAGTCTAAGTTGGAAAGGCTTCGAACCCATGACCTTGCTCTGATACCACTTGTAGGATCAAGCGCCTACCACTGCGCTAAAAGCAATTGCTTGTAGCCAAGGTGCTACTCTATTTCCTTATAGCGAATCCAACAAGGGGCCTACCTGACCCACCTAACACACCCGTGTAGGCGCCCATGGGGGATGTTAAGCCCTTCGAATCCCTAAGGTTGACGCTGGATATTTTAATCCAACAATCTATATCTTTTCATTTTGTTATCATCAAAACTTAAACATAGGGTAGTAGATTCAAACTTTGTTCTAACAAGTTCATGTATATTTTCGTGTGCTCAACTGATCGTACAAATTATTCAATACTATTCAAGTACCCGCTGCGTGAGAAAGAATACTGAAAATGTACGTTTGAAACACCACATTTTATAATCAAAGTCTTTTATTTCTCTCTTTACATTTCTTGTCTTTTTATCTTGTTTGCACTTTACATGCACTTTTACTCAGATTCCTGCACTTAAACTCTTCTCAACCCCTTTTCTATTTACTTTCTGCACTCAAACTCATCCCTTTCCCAGTCGGACGTGCGTTCTTCACTTACATTAGCATTTATGTCCAAACAACACCAAAAATTAGCATATGTCCTAGGATTAAACTGATCGATCCTGCGAGTAACTAAAAATTTATCCTTTTTGGAAGATTAACGGTTACTTACCAGAAAACACGGTGAACAAATTAGCACACCCGGTGGAACCTTGCTAATTGTTTTTGTTTTGTTTATTTTTTCTTCAGTTATTGCTTATTTATCTTAACATAAATGCTTTGCATAAATTTCTTTCTTTTACGAAGTTTTGCATGCTATTAAGAAGTGGTAAAGTAACCACCAACGAGTGTACAACTAGAAAGAGAAATAGTGAAAGCAATATGGCTAATCAGCCAAATAATGGAGAAATACCTCCACC